ATATTAACAGTCATAAATAACGTTATTTGAAATACAGTCGTTTGAAAGGTTAATATAATGTGACTTTTAAAGGTTAATATAATGTGACTTTTAAAGCTTTCGTTTACATTATATTTTATTCAAAGAGTTAAGGATTGTATACCCCAGCAAAATTTCTGATGTTGTTATCTGTCGTCGAAAATGGTCTTGGGTATTCGACGTTCTCATAAACATATTCATTATGTTTATATACTGACTGTAATACTAGGCGGAACGCATTGCTCTTTTTCGACCATATAAATACCATACTCCACATAGCGTTTGCGTCGTTTTGTTTCTATTTTTACTTACAGTTTTGTCAATTGTAGTATGGACAAACTACTTAAGTTACATAACGAATCATTAGGGCACTATGGTTGTAGAATAAAGCTGACGCGTTACCGTTCTTACATCAATTATGATCCAGATAATAGGGGAATGTGCAAAAAACACCAGGAGATATCTCCCGTTAAAGTCATCGGGATATGGCTTACTTCAAAACGTTAACGAGGCATCTAACACAGGTAGATAATGTGCAATTGTGTGAAATAAGGTTAACGCCTGGCTTTATGTTTCACCCGGATAATCATACAGAGGTACATGCATGTTTTTTAAATAAATCATAGCAGCCTATGGTAATAGTTACCACTTGACACTTATCGTGTACTATAGTGCTTTTTCTATTACGAACCTGATAATGATATCATAATGTACTTTTATGTATTGATACTGTGATTAAAACTGAACAAAATAAAATAGGACTAATATTAACCAATATCACAAATAAATCTGATTGCATCTAAATAATATCACACTCGCATTGTACCACAATTAATGTGTTTTTCTGTACTGATTCTGAATTTAAAAACTACCAAACTTAAAAGGGATCGAAATTATTTACGATCACAAATAAATCTAATCGTTTTTAGATATATATTAAGATCACGTTGCACCACAAAATGTTTCTGTACTGAGTGAACTTTGGTTAAAAACTATCAATATTCACTAGTTTCAAAAATGAATTACGATTACAATTATGATATCAAATTCCCAATCAATATTATAACAATACATTATCATAAACAAAGGTGAAGCAAATACACAGTGCCACAAAAAGTTAGTCCCACACTTAACTATTCTCGGTTTAAAGTTGGTGTCTTATTATACAATACTGCAAAGTTTCACGATATGGACATTATTTTCAAATTCATGTTAAATTTCTAATGAATGTCGTTACCGCTGACATGATTTTATACACCCCTCTTAGCTGCTTTCAAAGTTCCATTTGCCCCATGCAATAATTCTTACTTCCGGGGGTCCAACATTAAGATACAACTATAGAGAAAAATGAAATCACACGCATTCATTTTTCGATTTAAAGTCATCAATATCTTATGGGGTTTTCATGGAAAGTTAAATAAGATAACATTTTTCATATTTATCTCTAAAATATATATTTTTCTCTCTATGATGATTTTTTAAGAAAATGAATCGTATAACAAAATGCAAGTGGTTTTAGTGAAACCTCGAAAAGGAAAACTTCTTCTGAAAGACCAAATGCATTTTGTACTTCTACGGTATAATTTCCAATAACAACATTTCCACCATACGACGCCAGTAATGTTTAATACCATTTTTGGGGTTGTTTATAACGTGACATAAAAAGAAAGATATTCTTATATTTTAAGATATAAATTATTCACCACAATTCCATAATGTGAAACAGTATTAGTTATAGTGTCAGGTTATTCCTGACAACATTATTAGTTTTGATTTAAAAGTCACTACCGCGACAGGTGTTTCAATATGGCAACGTTGATAAGATCTAATGTATGGTCATCGAAACTAACTTATTCCATATATGTGAACAAAAATAAAAACAACAACCTACAGACTAGTTTCTTAAATAGCATGCAGAATGGAAAGTCGTAAGGATTCTGTGTATCTGTGTTTTATTACGAGATGCTACATCAAGCAACGCCCATTATGGCATTGAGAGGAACTACCACATAACTGTATTGTCATCAATAATTTAATGTTACAAATGACACCAGAGGTTTATACTCATAGATGTATCTGTCAACTATTCGTATCGGTATTTCCCATCTACAATCATTTGTATGAATTAGATACTTAATACTGGTTGCATTTATATTTATCAACTGATTAATGTTTTTTGTATATGTTGAATATATGCAATGTAATATATTTGTGTGTGTTACTAAAAATCGGAAAGGTATCGTTAAAGAAATAGCTGTCGAAAAATTTATTTGTAGGGATATTGACCACATTTTAGAAATAAACAGTATGCACACATGTCCATTTTTCAAATTTGTATGGACTTATTTTGTGGATTTTAAGAGGCATAATATGGTAAAAACCCTACTGGTCGTTTTATGACACTATCAAAATATAGATATTTATAGTATTCATGTCATTCACATAGAAAATATGTGTTCGATCGTTGTTATCCTGTGTCCCTCAACGTGTTGATGAATAAGTGATCGATTTATATTTGTGACTATAGAAATACGACGTGATTAACATTATCGTATCAATACACTTTATTATGTTATCAAGTATGTTATGTGGCTATTTAAACAACATAGTGCGATAAAAACATCAATACATATCCATATGGCCAGGATCCTGTACATAATGACACATTAGACATATTATAGCAACAAACGTGGTTTCTTACAATGCAGGATTTAATACAATAACAAATAATCATTTACAGATCCACATGCTGACATATAAGAGGAACTTAACAGCGTTATACGATAAAACATTTAATTTGAATGTGATGTTTAGCAAACGCCGCGTCGGCCAGACAGGGAACCTACCTTACTTACTCATTCCACTGGTGTTTGGTTGTCATTGGTATCTTTGTATTCTAAATCAGATTATTTGATTATCATGTGATGGTGCTTGGGCATTCGTCTTTTACGGAGTAAGATGCCTTTGGATGGGAACGAATAATGACAGATTAAGGCAGTATTTACGTGCTTTAATGACATATTTATGGAACACTGAACTTCGAAAGGCTTCCTCAGCACGCATCGAGTATATATACGGGTTTTACCTGTGGGAATAAAACCCTAGGAAACCCAAATGTGTAAATTTGTTTTACAAGACTGTTAATGTCACTCATTTGTGATTTATACACATAGATAATGTAATTTTGCCATTATGTGACTCCTGATCAAAACATGCCGTTTACCACAGCACTTTATTCAATCATACAATCATTGAAAAACGCGGATTTGTCCACGCCGTGTCCATAGGCAATGCACACTAAGTGAGACTAATTTCTTTTGGCACGCGAGCGCGTGCAAATGGGGAAATAAGATGCGGCTTTAATAATATTTACCTAAGGTAATATGGGATCTCCACGCGCGGTGTCTAATGATCGCTAGCGTCAATATTGAATTAGATTACCTTTGAAATTTAATACTTACTGAGAAACAATTAAGGTAAGGTTGTAGCGGGATGTGTCACCGTAGTCCGGGCGTATCATCTCTGTAGTGTCGACTCCAAAGGCCATATCAAACTAAAGTCGATTTTTTTTAAAAAGAAAATCAAATTTGTGTTATTGAATGAATCCTTCCTATGTCTAAAGCAATGTATTTTCCTATTCGTTGATGTTGATTTGGTTAAAGTTCGTTTACGGTGAGGTTTGGGTTTGTGCTTTATGGCGTCGAGGCGCTGTAATACTATCCAATGTTATTATAAAATTTCAAAGCTGTTAATATCATCAGCGTATCACCCAACATCATTTAAGTAAGGCGTAAATTAGATAAGGGTGATATTCGCCCAGACGTAAGCCTAGTATGTATAGGGAACGGAGAAGGTTTAATTGGACTAAGTGTGGTGGAGGTGTTATGTAATGGCGATGTCATCTAAATATAGGAAATTTACAAAGAATCTGAGCTAGTTACATCAATCTCTATAGGGATCCTGGCCAGTTTATTGACTGATATATTCAATTTGTAAAAAGGACTAATGCAGCAGCGGCTTGTGACAGGTCAGGGGACTGTGTTAGTGAGTTGTTTTGTTACAGCAATGACCGATCGGGGAAAACAATTATACTTTCTTGTATTAAAAGTGTCAGACATCGAGATGTTTGTAAAACATTTTTTTCCTAACGGACATTTTTAGAAAATTGCTTCCATACAGGATGGCATCGAAACGACTGTTACGAGACACAAGGAACATTCAAACACGTGTCAAAAAAATGTAGGAAATGTTCATGACCCAGGGAGGCATCGCACAATGTAACTGAACAATCGATAATTAAATAATAGATATTAGACTTAATATTAAATTACGTTTGCATTAGAGGATTTCTTTCTGTTTTTGAATTATTAGAAATGCTATCTATCTCAAATACCAACGAAACAACTAAATATCTTACTAACAGGAACCACAGTCCACCAATGGCAGTGCATGTGTTTGTTCAGTGGTTGATTTTACGCGAGTAATTAATTTACACGAATCTTTATTTTCGAGAATACAGATTTTGTGTGATGTAACTTGTGTAAATTCGTCTCCGATATCTATCGCTCATTCTAAAATTGATAGATGTGTCCAACATTGCTCGATTTTTCTGGAATCCTATACAACAAGAAGTTATTTAATAATACTCTAGGAACACAAAATAAGGTAGTAATTTGAACAGGCTCGATTCAAGCTTCCTTTCTGTTGGAAGAACAAATATTTAAAACAATATGAAAAATGTATTTCTATTAATAAAATATTCAAAAATTATCAAAGAAGTATCTTCGACATCTTTTCTAAGTAAACGAGTAATGGAATAGACATCATATCTCTAAATAAAAAAAACAAATGAAAGCTTAAAGGACATATTCCCCAACATTAATTCATGTCATCATCTTACCACTTTTATCATATACTCTGTAGAAAGGTATACAATGTTTTCCCCCCAACAATAAAGGAAATGTATTGTTATATGTTTTCAGATTCTGGCTATGGATTGCACACCGATTTTCAAGATGACAGCTTTGCTAGACGTAAACAAAGAAGGAATAGGACAACATTCACCCTCCAACAGGTACGTTTATTCAACTAATTAGGTAACATTCACCCTCCAATAAGGGCGTTTATACAAACAAACGGACAACATTACCCTACAACAGGTACGTTTAAACACACAAAAGGGCAACATTCACCCTCCAATTGGTACAACATTTACAAGCTGCGTGATCGGTAACTATATTCGGTAAGCAGATTCCTAAGCAGATTCAAATAGTTAAAGTACCAAACGAAACGCAAAATGTCGGGGGATTAAATATGTAATGGTTTAATTTCGCATACATAAATCTAAAGCAGAGCTTTGTGAACTTTTGATAGGACCGATACAGAAAAATGATAAAAATTTGGACAGATAATGGACAATATTTTTTTTTTATTTCAGCTTGAAGAGCTTGAGAAAGCTTTTGCTCAAACGCATTACCCAGATGTTTTCACCCGAGAAGACCTAGCCATGCGAATCAATTTAACGGAAGCACGTGTGCAGGTAATTTTATCTATTGCCAAAAGATAGCATATTCTTGTTTCCCATTATCGGAATTGACTCATTGTTGTCATATGATTGCTATCTATCTTCTCTTAAATTCGTCTTCATTGCAAGACTATAATATACTCCACTTTACTTAGGCACGTGATATTGTAACAAACGTGGCATTAGTAATGACATTAACAATGTCATATAGGACATATATCATATTTACCAAAATTCAATCTGTCATGCAGTTTAAAGCTGTTTCGAGAAAACGTACTGGCTTTATAATATGGTATCTTCCTGAATGGGTTTTCATATTGCATTTTACAAAGGAGAAACAAGAAATTGGTTGGCCATTAGTTTCCCTTAAAATGACGATGTTTTATTAATCTATTATCTTATGTCGATGTAATGTCCTATACATTTCATTATAAATATTATGTATAGGTTTCATCTTCAAGAACAATTATATAAGTATTCATTATATTTCCACAAATTGGAGAGTTATAACGTTTTACTGCGCGCCTCTTCTATAAATTTCAGCGTCTGGTCTGATTAGATTTAACGTAAACATGATAATAGCTCTACTGGATTGCTACCAAATCAAAAATGATTGACAGAGAATATCTATATATTTATTTCAGTCAGCCATACATGACTGACACAGACAGCATTTTCATCCTTCTGATAATAAGTCATATATGACTAAACCAATTAAATTTTCAATCCAAATACTAGGTCACGCGTGACTGACACTTCGTACGTTTTCTTCCATCCCCCTGCTAATATGTCACACATGACTGACATTAAGTATGTTTGCCATCCCCCTGCAAATAAGTCATACATGACTGAAACTTAGTGTGTATTGCCATCCCCCTACTAATATGTCACACATGACTGACACTTATTGTATATTTCTACCCTCCTACTAATTAGTCACAGATGACTGACGCTTAGTGTGTATTTTCATCCCCCTGCAAATAAGTCACACATGAATGACACTTAGTGTGTATTTTCATCCCCTTGCTAATAGGTCACACATGACTGACGCTTAGTGTGTATTTCTAACCCCCTGCTAATAAGTCACACAAGAATGACACTTAGTGTTATTTACATCCCCCTGCAAATAGGTCACACATGACTGACGCTTAGTGTGTATTTCTAACCCCCTGCTAATAAGTCACACATGAATGACACTTAGTGTGTATTTACATCCCCCTGCTAATTGGTCACACATGACTGACGCTTAGTGTGTATTTCTAACCTTCTGCTAATAAGTCACACATGAATGACACTTAGTGTGTATTTCCATCCCTCCTGCTAATAAGTCACACATGACTGATACTTAATGTGTATTTCCACCCCCCTGCTAATAAGTCACACATGACTGATGCTTAGTGTGTATTGCCATCCCCCTGCTAATTAGTCCCACATGACTGACACTTAGCGATAAGTGTGTATTGTCATCCCCCTGCTAATAAGTCACACACGAATGACACTATGGGTGCATTTCCCTCCCCTGCTTATAGGTCACACATAACTGTTCCTTTTTGTGCATTGCCATCCCCCTGTTAACAGTTCATTCATGACTGACACTTAGTGTGTATTTCCGTCCCCCTGCTAATAGGTCACACATGACTGACACTTAGTGTGTTTCCATTACACTTATAATCAATCACAAATGAGTGAAAAAGTCTGCATTGCCCTGCCGTTGGTAATAGATCACACATGAAAATGAAAATTAAACAAAATTGACTATCTCAAATGTTACTAAATGTAACGCATGATCGGCATAATGCATATTTCTCAACCATTTATTATCTTTTTCGGTATGAAATAGGCATTGGTAAATATTACCTAGGTCAAAAAAACTACCAACAACATTGTAGTATCAAAACATGTGCATGTGAAAAATATCGATGAATTCATATAAAACCTCTTTATGCCAATATCAATTATGGAAGCAGTTTATGTATTACGTTAGCACGCGCGAACCCGCAATATATTAATAAAAAAAAACAGTTTTTTACTGTAGGGTTAAAGACGAGTAACATGCAACTGTTGAACTTTACGTATTTAACACTGACGAAATAATTCACTTATAAAACATGTAAACCTGATTATATTCAAATCTAATCCTAGATCATCGTTAAGTAATATCATAACTTACAATATAATTATGACTGATTATTACTTTTTTTATTTAATGAGGAGAAATCATTGATCCTAACACAATGCAATTACCAATATAACAAAGAGAAGCAACGAAATGCCGAAACGTGAAAGTACAGATAGGAAAAAGCCCTTATTGAGAATCTAAATAATTGAATGAAAAGACTGCGCGTCTCATATAAACATTCGTCATTGCATTGGTTAAACCGTACAAAGCGCAAATGGATTTCATAACACATGGCACACACAACACAAAAGTCATGTGGACATACTGTTGACGAAGTTGCCATTTTCACAGTGTACTGTATAAGACATACACTTGTCTAATTCTTATTGAACTACTGCGTATACATGCATACGTTTTCATTATAATCAACTATATATAACTGTACATTTAATGTGTTTTCATTAATTATCAAATAAAATTATTTTTATATCAGGTGTGGTTTCAAAATCGTAGAGCTAAATGGAGAAAAAGCGAACGGTTCGCCCAACAACAGACAAAACCAAGTACGAACCAAAGTGACACGGGGAATGAGGATGGTGGCTCAGAGATCGACATGAAAATGCAAGATGGTGGCGAAGACCTTGAGGTTGACACAGTGACAAGTTCGGACGACCTTGATGACTCCTTACTTCCAGAAGAAATCGACGTTCACTCAGAACGAGGCGTGGATATCATCAGTAAAAGTGAATCGTTTGATGTTAATTCAGAAACGAAAGAACAAACGCAGTGTAATTCTAATCAGGACTTTAACGAGGAACCAGACACAAACACAATCTCTTCAGATAAAGAATTAGACCAATCACCTTCAGTGTTATCCTCTTCTTCAAACAGTAATGAAACTGACGACAACAAAAGTAACCTACCCGATAAAGCCGCAGAGCAAATTTCTGAAAATTCTGAAACCGAAACCACCACCTCAGAATCCAGCGGAAGCGTTCACACAAGTCAAGTCATACCGAATCTCCTGTCGACGGGGATGCCACACGGAATGTGTTCCTCATCCTCTATGCTGATGAACATAGCCAATCAAACTCAGGAAAACATCTTGCAGAAACAACAGCCATTCCTGCAAAATTCTTTTGTGCAAACATTACTTGCCCTGAACAACAACGCTACATCCAGACCACCTGGGCTGATGCCGTTTATGGACGGGTAAGTGTTTTGAATCGTTAGATAACAGTACTGACTGAAATATAAATCTAGTATGTATTACACAAGGAAGAATTTATTTTTGTAAAATGTGTATTATTAATGCCAGTTAATTAACTCAAATAACTACTATTTATTTTTGTATTATTGTAAGCATCAACGTTACTCTTTGTAAGTATTGTGACTCTCCACAATTTCAAACTTCTTCGAGTAGTACCCGAACTGTCCACACCCTCAACCTTCCTTGAGAAGAGTTGTAACTATCCCCAACCTGAACATGTCTGGGGTAGTACAGCAACTATCAGCCATATCAAACCTTCTTGTGCAGTATTATTCATATGTTCAATCTCAAATTCTTGATTTGTGGTATCTATCGACAACTTCTACCTTCCTTTGGTAGAACAAACAAATATCTAACTGTTAAAATGAACCACGATTTGCTTAGGTAAACAGGGTTTTCCTTCGACATATTGACGCAATATCAAAATTCAAAAATGACATTTTAGGAACTGTACTTAATTACTGAACAATATGCAAACAAGAAATCAATGCATCTTTTAAATATGCAGTCAATATTGTATTACAGAGCTGGCTACAAGAACTACTTGGACAACTATTTCACTCCCAGACACTTCCTACCTCATGTGGCACATCCTGCTTTTAAAGGTACGTTGTTTGTCAAATAAGCAGCTGAACCAGTACCTCATATATTATAAAAGTGTCTCAAAATAGTAAGTATTGTGACTTTGAAAGAAATAGCGAGGTCACTAACTTTTATAAAAAAATCTTTGTAGTATCAAGAAAAATTAACAATGCAATTTACTGCGCATCGATAATACATTGTATCTGTTGCTTTATAAAGAAAATAATATAACATTTTTGATAGAAATCTAAAAAAAGGTGTCCTCGATATTTTCTTAATTTTGTTTTAATTTCATTTTTTTCTACCATTATTAATATTGTTTGTATAATAAAGGATTAACACGTTACCATGTCCCTGTTTAGTATCATGAAAACGTGTATAAACCTATCACGAGCCAATACCTAACCTTTCTGTAAACTTTACAGCGGCGTGCCTTCCCTTCTGTGCTTGTTGCACCACGAGACCGAGTTGTCCTCCCTTGATGGTTCCACCGGATCAGAGATCATCCAGCGTCGCGGAACTCCGACGTAGGGCACGTGAACATTCGGAATCAATTACATCATCAAATGTTCCCGACACCCCACATAGTAGCCGACCATGAGGCTTGAAAGCGACCCCTGGCATAAGAAATAAATGAACGATTGAGGGGACGTAACTTTCAATCATTAACGTTACCGTAGTGCAAGGAACCTGTGCTTGATAATTTCTACAGACTTGACAGTGTAGCAACGCATTGCACAAATTCACGTACCATGGCAATGATAGCATGCATATGCTTGTTACAATCTGGAACCTATTCCACAACTAGCTAGGAAGATATATATTGCATATGTGGACAACTTGTTTATATGAATTTGCACCACCAAAGAATATTGCGTCATCTTATATGACGCCATTCCTTTTTGTTGTTGCTTTGTTTGATTGTACTTGTTAACTTATACCTCCTATTGGCTGTCTAAATGTGCTTTCAATTAAAATAAAATAACAAATGTACACTAAGGGTTGTCTTCTACTTTGCTCTACCTTTCTACCCAACTCATCAAACCTATCAATCGTAAATGCAAATGTGCACTAACCGATTATGTTATATACAACGAAATAAGCAGAATAACAGAAGATGTGATGCATGATCCTTCCTTCAACACAATAGCATGCGTACCGCTTGTGATGTAACTTTCCCAGGTAAAACCCACATCCATATACATACAATGTAACATCGTAACGGAGGCTACAGTGACTGCCATAACGTCAATCTGTAGTACTCACTACATGTCATAGGATATCTCACAGGGTTTTTGAATAAGTGACATCATCTCAGTCCAGCAGCCAGTAGAACGATGAAAAAACAATAACGGGAGAGGAGGAAACTGACAATACATCATCATTTTGACAGATTAGACATTGGTTTCTGTTCTAATTAAGAGTCGTAATGTATGTTTACGTTTGAGGATAGGAGAGGGCGATGTAAGTATGTCATATCAACCACAGAGCTATGTTGGACTAGATAACTATTAGAAATGGAAGAACACATTCTAGGCAAATACTAGAATGATCAACGTATACGCAGCTTTACTTATTGAGAATGCTATCGAGAACCTATTACGTTACGACAATAAAAGGACATTTTCATCACAAGCCAGAAAACAACTTGACAATTGTTCAAAAGACATACTTTTGATCGCAATAGAAATTGGGACGTCTATTTTGTAAGAACAAAAACTGTTATACAGTGGTATTCCAAAGGAAACATTTATCAAACAAAAATCGCATATGAACCACATGACGCATCTAACAAACAAAACTCTCATACGACGCACCATTCAAACAAACATTTTATATTAACAGGGGACGCACATTCAGACAAACATTTTATATTAACAGGGGACGAACCATTCAAACAAACATTTTATATTAACAGGGGATGCACATTCAAACAAACATTTTATATTAACGGGGGACGCACATTCAAACAAACATTTTATATTAACAGGGCGCATCTAACAAACAGATGATTAAACAAACGAAAGCTCCTGCAATGCTCCATTGTTTGTGAGGACTCTGGTAGGAATTCTTAACTTAGAAGGTAAATTTGTATTAAAATCTTAATTTGATAAACAAAATAAGTCGATAACAAATCTATGTTCGGGCAATATTTCGTCTCTGGACAGTATTGATGAGGAATACGTACATATAGGACATCTAGCTTAGTCCAGCAAACTGTTTTTACGCAATTTACATAACATCATTTACAGAGATAATGCTATAGGAAGTCAGCGTTGTATGAGTACAAACTTGACATGGTTGTTATATAAATAGCCTCTAACGATAGTGTAAAGTGCAACATACTTAATATCTACATTATGATCTTGCTTTGAACAGATATTCCAAACTTTATAAGATGTCTAAAAAAGATAAACCACACAGAAAAGCTATCCAACTGAGCTTCTTCCTCCTGCAGAATGCTGTGCCGGGTACTTTCGGCATGGTAATTTCAGTTAGATATCACTATAACGTTGGCATTAGATCCGAGCTATCACAATGAGGCAAGTACACCAACAAACCATGTGTCCAGCACACATACACACATGCATGCTTACACAACACACACAGAGGCCGTCCTTAAATGACCTTAGCTGTTAATACATTTTGTAGGACGTTAAACAAAATAAAACCGAATCAAACTGTTTCTCCCCGGTTCTAGCATTTACCCTGCGGTATCCAACAGAAGAAACATTTGGTGTTGTCATTCATTTCCTCGACATTTTGTGCCTTTGGCAAGTAAACCTGGCAGTTTGTTATTATTGACATTGCCAAGGTCACCATATTGTATGATGTCACAGAAAATTAGATGAAAACAAGTAGACACAATATCGTTTCGAGTCCACGGAGTTGTAGCGTCCGTCTATGCTTGGACGCTTAAAATGCAATTGTTTTATTATATGTAGTTAATCGAACCCTTATTTTTATCATATGGTGGAATACCGGCTCGGATTTCTTTTGAGATAACTGCACAGGTGTTGAATGAAATACTGATTCACAATATCTCTGATAACATTAAAAAGTATGTCACAGGGAGAATTTCAGACATTACCTACATTCATTCTTCCAGTCTACGTTTGGGGTCTGGAAAACTGTCGTGGATCTTGATTGGATATGATGTATACCCGATCGCTCCGATATGTCAAAAGAAATATTATGTAACTTATGATGCGTATAATATCGGTGACCATGAAAAGATCTTCATTAATGGTATCGACGCGTCGGGAGATTTAAATGTTGGTAGTGTTTACTGCCGTGGTTATATCTGAGCAATTATATTTTTACACTCACCTTCCGAAATAAGCCTCTTAGAGAAAAATTAATTCCATAAACAACTTTACATTTGTAACAATTCTAGATCCTGATAATAACAGGTAGAATGAGTTTCTTTGTTTGTATGCTATTATATTGCATCTAGAAATACGGACGTACTCTGTACAATGTTATGTTTTGTAGTTATCATTAGTGTGCATTGTGTTTTCGTTGTCGCTTCCCCTGATGTCACTTTGAGGACATGACATAACGCGGGTTTAGGTTTTCATGGTCGGTGTCATCGATGAGGCGGAAGATGCTTGCTTACATCTAGTCTTATTCTCTTTGATTTCCAAAAGTGTCTCTCTTATACATTTCTCCTTTGTTCATATATTGCCTTCGTCTTATTGATTTTCAATTCGAATTACTACTTCGATATTCTCTTCTTGTTCCTTTTTATTTTAATAACCGCACCAAATTTTTGCATTTTTTCACACAAATATAATTATTGGGTTATTTATAGAATGGATGCTCCTTTACTCTTGGATTAGTAAAATGTACAATGTACATGCTCGTCTGAGTATTTATATACTGAGTAACGTCTGGGTAACTGACGATCAAAGGGCTAGGTAACTGCAAATATAAATAGAAAATTGGTTTCTGCTGAAAATTGGTTTCTTTAGGTATTATAGGTCGATGATGCTCTAGTTTCATACACTGTTTCCTTACTAAAAAAACTCGAAATCAAAATTGCTTTTCAGGTTTGAGGACCAAATTTTAGGTTACTGTTACTTTAAATAGCACATCGGTTTCAAAACAATAACAGAAGTTCCCAATTCCATGTACAATGCTCCTTTGCGCTTGCAATTGAAGTCTGAAGATCAAATATCAAGTGAATCTTACCATATATAGAAAGTTGGTTTCCACTCATTAGCTCAACTTTATCAATGACATTCAAACTTCAAACACTGCGACCTTACATGTGACCTTACCTGTTCGAGGGTTAAAGGTCATTGTTACTGTTACTAGCGTATTACACTTTGCAACCCAAAATTACCTTAGCATCAAAAATCTAAGTATTACATTACAACCGAGTATACAGACCAATAACTATTAATTCATTCCCAGCGATTAGCTACAGACTGCAACCAGTATATATGTACATGTTGTGATAAAACCAAACAACTGGGACAAGGGAAATAGGCCTGGTCTCAGGGAGCTAGAAGCGCACTAAATCCCGAAAGTTCATACTTCAACTGTATTCCTAACCATACTGATGGTGTGACTTCACCATTGACTAAGCATACGAGTGGCATTACTTTGAAGTTTACTCTATACGCAGCTATGGACTAACTGGGGTTAATGGAACATGTCAATCATCCATTTCATATTTATAACTGTAAACAGCGCGTTTTGTGTTAAATAAAAACCCACGGCCATGTACGATAGTAGACTGAGCGCATTCTGAACACATGTATAACCCCTAGAGCAGTTATTCAGTGCATATTTAGTGCACATATTGCATGATTCCAATTTAACGCCAAGAATATGCAAATATACATCATGTTTCTCCTCAATACAAGCTATCCAAATCGTTTGCTCCTAATCCATGAAAACACGTACTAGTTATTAATTTGATAAGGCAAATCCATGGTGTCGTGCGAATACCGATAAAGATGGATTTCCTGATACAATTAGGTATCAAATACAATTAGTCTTCACTTCAGCCAGCTGGATCGGATTTATGTGTTAGATTTCAATTTGTAACATCAAGCATTCTGATTGCGATGAAAAATTGATATTAAATATGCTTTCCTTTAACGTTTTTATTGTAAAAATATACTTGAAAACATCTAGATATTATTTTTTTAGTAAATTGAGCCTTGTACCTTATTCAAATCGGGGTTTTATCATTGAAAAAATATTGTGTTAATTATTTTCCTTTTCTGAAAAAGTAGGTTCGTCGTGGTAGTAAGCTTACAATGTTTAACGGCTAATTAAACACCTGTTCAAATGGCATGATACCTTATTGTATTGTAGCGTGGTACAGCAGATACCACAACATCCGGTAAAACCAAAGTTCAACTATTGATATCAATGTCAGCTAGTGGTTTTTATATTTTAAATGACGTTTTATATTGAAAACTGATATTGAGAATCACATCAATAATGCGTTGTTTGGTTAGAGTTTTACAATTTCGCAGAAACTTCAATGTACGGCGACACTCAATGGCAGATGTAACGCGTCACCGTCTGTCCCAACCAGGATGAGGTGACATAAAACCCAGTCGGATCAAATCTTCCGACAACTGCAAACCAGAGGTGCCTTCGACATGAAAGATGATGTTACATCGAGATCGCATTGGTTGCAAAAGGTGAGACCCCGATCATGCGTCCCAAACTACGATACAATGTCCTATCAAAATATCAGCTTCAACCTGCTGACATACAGAATCCTATGTTTCAGTCTACGATACCAGGTCCTACCCTAGTGCAGAATCATTCTGCTGACATCCAGATATCTGTGTTTCAGTGTACGATACCAGGTTCTACCCTAGTGCAGAATCATTCTGCTGACATCCAGATATCTGTGTTTCAGTGTACGATACCAGGTCCTACCCTAGTACAGAATATCCTGCAGACACCCAGCTATCGGTGCTTCTGTCTACGATACCAGACCTACCC